CCCCAAAACCCCAAAACCCCAAAACCCCAAAACCCCGATTTATAAAATTTAAGTTGAAAATTAAATAAGGTAGCTTTTTGAGGGAATTTGGCTTTTTTAAGGGGAAAATAGGGGTTAAGGGGTGTTTTAAAGGAGTTTTAAGGGGTCTGAAAGAGATCTCAGGAGCTGAGAATTTTGTAGGTGATGAAGAAAGGAGGTGGAAATATGGGGCAAGTTGAAGGAAAGAAATCAGAATCGAGGAATAGGGGGTTAAATACTGTAATTTTGGGTATGAATTGTTTAGAAAAAGAGGCTTTCGGTGAAATCTGGATTGGTTTATGAAAATAATATGTCAGGTGCCAAATTGATAGGGAAAATTTCAGTTCAAGAGATGTTCAATCAGGCCAAGTGACTTAGTGAGATTTTATTATAACTTCAGGTTTTAGTAGTAATTTATTCTCAGGAGACTCAGAAAAGAAATTTGTTATTAATTCATCAAGTACAATTCTAGTTTGAGATATTTAGAGAAAAAGATCAGGGGTTCTAAAATCTACCGAAGTTTCATTAAAGAAAATACCAAAACTCAGGAAGACAATATAGCTCCGAAAGTAGAGGAATACACAAATTCTATGTTGAAGACTCCAGAAATCCAGGTATCTAAGCATTTTGAACCAATAGAAAATGAAAAGTTTCAAAGTTAAGTCTCCAAAAGGGGTAAAAACTCATAAGAAAGTGCGCTCCTCTCTAATAGGAATGAAGGAAGGCTCGAAAAGCGCTTCAAAACTAAAGAATAATACTAAGTCTTCACTTATCCAAAGTAATTCATAAATAACATATCAATAATAGAGCAAAGTTTTGCTGGAGTGTTGACAAAGAAGATTAAGAGATCTTCAAACAAGAACTTAGGAACTATAAATTACCCTTCAAAAGACAAGTCTAGAGCTCCAGATCTAACCAAAACCTCAAGTTTCTGCACAGTAGTGTATGATTCAGATAAAGAGTAAGATTTCTTCTTTAACCTCTCTTAGTGCAAGTCAGAAGGAATCTGATTCTCCTAGGAGGAAGCCAAAGAAGGACCTACCAAATTATTCTAGAAAAAGTACGCTTCATTTTGACCTCATTTAGAACACGATAGAATGGCCCAGAGGTCCACCAGTAATAAAAGAGAGTGCAAATCCCATGTAAAAGGATACATGAAAGCTACATTTTCATACAAGAATAGCAAGCAAAGTAAGTCTTGACATCATTTTTATAGGGGAAGCAGTCCATTTAAAGAAAAAGTTCAAGAAGGCAGGGAAACAGGAAGAAATCGGAGTTGATGTCAAGCCAAAAAGCTCGTTAGAAAATTTTGTCTATTCTTCCAAGATTCTCACTACCAAGAGTAAGATTTAATTGTTAGAGAGTTTAGACAATAAGAAATTGTCCCTCAGCTTCGCTACCAATGAGCATCAAGTTGAAAGTTTTACTAAGACTATCAAAAGAAGTAAGGATAAGCACTAGAATTTAGACTATAACAAACCATGGCTTGAATGAATGAAATTAGGCCAAAAATCTACTAAAAATGATGCTAAAAATGTCAAAACAAGTATATTATATTGTTATACCATAGATGCAACTACTGCAAGGTCAATGAGTGTCCGGAAGACTACAGTAGACATCAAAACACCAATAGAAATTTCTAAAAAGAGAACTCCCAAACTCACAATCACAACAGAATCTTCTTCTGTAAAGCCAAATACAAGATTTGAGGATAATTATCTCAGTTCTAGTACAAATAAAAGTAATCCCCATCACTTGATCTCTCTCTAGGTACTGTAAGGAACTCTGAAAAGCTTAAAATCTCTCTGAACACTCCTGCTATCAAACTCGAGAAGGTAAGCTCAAAATTATCCATCCCAGTACCCACTCACTTCTAGAAACCACCAAGAGTTTCCAAATTCGAATCTCTCCGTAAGAAACAATACATGAAGATATCCCACTACTGAAGGTACTTGAACCCCAAATTTCTCTTCCTCGGCCGTCTTTTCATTCATCATTCTTTTCTAGGCCGTCAAGCTCAGTTAGCAAAAGAGTCAATGCAGATATATATGAAATATTTCCTAACGACTAGGATTAATAGGATGTTCAATAGAGGGAATTGGTGTTGGGGTTTTGGGGTTTTGGGGTTTTGGGG